GGAAAGACGCCGTAAACTTGCCGTAAACAAAGATAAGTGAATTTTATTCAAAATGACGGGAACTTGTCAATAGCTTTTCTCGCTTTTTGATTGGTAACGGTAGGTAAAGTCTGCATACGGGCCAAGTGGCCCACCAGGCCGGAGCTTATTCCAGTTTCTATAGCATGAAGCGAAAAGGAGTATTTCCACTCCCCCCTGGATGGGATGCTAGTCCATCGCAGGATTACCCCCAGCATTAAGTTCGCCGGTACTCATTTATACACCTGCGTGGAGAGAGGCACTGTGAATGTGAAGTGTCTTGCCCAAGAACACAACACAATGTCCCCGGCCAGGGCTCGACCCCGGACCGTTCGATCCGGAAACGAGCCCACTAACCATGAGGCCACCGAGCCTCCCGCACCTCGCTTTTTGAATGGCTGAAAGTTCAACTGTTGAAAGCTTGCATAAATTGAAATATTATCCGTCTGTACTCTTATTGATGATAAAAATGAGCCAATCAGCGCGCGAGGAATTAGACAGATATTGTAAAATATGGACTGGACCTAGTTTGCAATGGAGGCTCATGCGAGGGAATGTCATTAAAATTTATGTCACTAACATTTGAAAAGACCTCCCTCATTAGCCTGAGTTGGAAGCTAGTTCCAGTCCAATACCGAGAATACGAATATGCATAGTCTATTATAGTGAATGTCTTTCTCTCAGTCTAAAAATTTGATATTCCATGATAACGTCGCTTGAAAGGTTCAGGAAAAATGCATTTGTAAGTTTTATTTTTTTTTTTATTTTTATTTTTTTTTTTTATAGCATTTACCACCACTAATGGGAACAGAGAAGAGTTCGAACGGGTTATGGAACTGGTCGGTAAAAAGAGAATTCCCAGGGGCTCTCTCGTACGTTCTTTACAGGAAACATTTGTTCGCACTGCTTTCGCATGTTTGAGTCTGCCCTCCGGCTCTCATAGGATGAACCTTGTCCTGACTTTTGTGGCTCAAAATTTAGCGCCCAAAATAAGAAGGCTATATTCCTGAAACGTTTCCATTTGTATTTCAAGTTGGATTAGGCACTTTGCTTAATAAATAACTATAAAAAAGAAACAAACTTTACCAAAAGTCTTCAATATTATCTGACATTGATTTTATTTCATAACATTTGGCAACCTGACCCTCTGCTGATGATATACTAATTGAATGTTGGTATTTTAACATTTCTCATTTCAGCTGTTCCTCTGCCGTGCTTTGATCACCAGCTAAACCAAAGACAACCAGGTGATAAGTGGCTCAAAGACCCTACAACTAACTGTACTTGTACTGAGCACAGTTCAGTCTTGTGCCAGAAACTAAATGAGTCTGTGTGCATGGATATCAGCGGAAACTTGAGAAAGAATAGGGAGGCGTGGATGAACAGTTCCTGTGTGGCTTGTGAGTGCGTCAACGGCACTATAAACTGTACTAGATATGACGTCAACGTCACTTATGGATTGTATAGTATAGAGCTGTTACCCACCTGTGAACAATGTGCAGTTCCATTGAGAACACAAGAGCCCTACAGTACTTGCAAAGGTGGGTAGACCCCTCTTAACACATTATGTTATGTCCTGTTTTCGGTCACTGTCGAGTCGTCAAAGTTCAGTTTGATCACATGGTTCAAAAAGGCCAAGTTCTATAGATCAATATTCTAACATGGCTCCCATACTTCCAGGACAAAATTGCAGTTTTGTTCTTAATTATGCTTTTGCCTCTCAACTCCTAAAAGAGTTTTACATGCAAAGAAAACTCCAACTCGAAACATCGAAATTTGTCCTGTAAGCCTCGGAACCATGTTAAATAGTGACATCGAAAGTGGCCTACCACATATCGTATAACATACATTTATAACAATTTCAATTCAACTTGGCTCATGGTCATAAGTGAGCCGGGGAACTTTAGCACATATGAGGTGTGGAAAGATGAGCAGGAATTTAAAATTGCTTTACCATAAAATTCAAGCAACAAGGTTGCATATGGTATGTAAGTATAGAAATGAAATAATATTTATTGGAACTGCGGACAAAGGCTTAAAGACATGAAAGATCATCGCAGTTATGCACACACCTTTTAAAGCAGCTGTGAAAGCCTGAGAAAAACGTTGTCCGTAAACGATACGACTTTATAGAATGATGGGTAGACTGAAAAAGCATGCGCATGATCATAAATATTCAATATTGTTTTCTAGTGACATCACAGCTCAGCTGCCCAAAATGGTGATTTAGAAAAACATAGAAACTACCATGCCTTCCTTGAGGTAGCTAAGGTAGAAAACAAAAGAAAATTTGAACGCTTAGAGCTTCGAGATATGCCCAAGTTTGCAACAGGCACTGAGCTCGAACTATAACGAAGAGATCTGGCCTGCGACTGTCTGAATTCTTTATTTATGGTGAAAAGCAACTCCAGATAAAATAGCTGTTACTTTACTTCATCCGTGCGTACATATTTAGTTCCCTATTTACTCAGAAATTTTAAGCAAACCTGCAGGTTCCACAATATCATAGCCAAGGTAGTAATAACGCCAGGCAGCACGTAAACGCAGGTCTTTAGAGTACGCCTTATATTTAAGCATGCATGCTAATCTCGTAAACCGTTTTAATGCTTGTCCGCGGTCCGTAAAGTGCAAATTGGTATTAGTTCGCAAGTTTACCTGAAAACCACTGCGTCGTATCGTTTATAGTTCATACTTTTTTTCTTGACAACATTTCTTCAATTAGGTGTATATTTAACGTAAAAACATTTGTTCATCATAAATTCTACACCAAGAAATAATAAGATCATCTCGCATGTTAAGAAGTTGAATTCTACCTTTCCAGCCAAGTACTTTTCCAGTTCAGCTATTTTTCAGGCATTTTTTTTCCAATATCAAATCGAACGTGCTATAAAATTCAGGTTTACTATACTTTGCTATAATTTGCTTTTGTTTTTCTTATTTCAGTCTACCTTGAACTTTCCGAAAACGGAAAAATGACCGAGTGTGCAAGTGGGGGATTGTATATCCGGGACATTCACCGATGTAACGGGATCGCTGAATGCCCGGATGAATCAGATGAAAACGGCTGCGAAGATGGTATGCTTCCTCAGTTTTCGCACTATGTTGCTTTTCTGCTACACTAAATAATACTCAATCAACATTTACTTTGGTCTCAACATGTAAGGTCTGAAATTGAAAGGAGCTTTATTTTACGCATTAAAATAAATGAATGACTTTTTCGATCTCCTCAAACCGAGCTCGGCCAATGTAGGGTTCATGGTTAGCTTTGAGTACAACATGCAGTATAAAAGACCGTAACTAACAGTTCAGTTTTACTCTGCTGTCAGTTACATGTATCTTAACGAGTAACTCCTTGTTCAAATGCTATCGTGCTTTGGTTGAAATTAGTCCCTCTCTAGCCATTCGATTTGTCTTTCGCTGGTGTCGTCATAGTTATGATTGACAAACGGGTAATTGCTAAACTGTACTAGTAGTTGGGTTTGGAACTTTGGATTTGCATGTTACTGAAAGCCAGTCGGCAGGAGAACCTCTTACATGAAAAATATTTTTAAAACTTACCTTAAAAGAAAAAATTTGGAGTTCTGCGTTAAAAAATGTCCTTTTTAGCACAAACAAAACAAACTGTCTCAGTATGGGACAAGAGCAAAAAAAAAACATTAATCAAAATACACTTACAACGGAAAAATTAAGCTCCGATAATGAACGGATGTTACACAACATGGTTCCGGAATAAATGTCAGATTATGTCGAATAATAGTCTGCCAATATTCTCTTCAATATTGAAAAAAAGATACAACGGTGTTAAAGTCAGCGCAGGTCCTCTCCCGCTCAGGACACGAGTTAGCGTTGAAGTGTAGGTGGCCCGAATTTAAGCTTATTACAACCAAAGATTTGTCGTAAAATCAACTATACCTGGGGAACCGGCTCTATCGTGAACACCACGAGTTCTATCGAGCTTGAAGCCAAAGAAATTGCTAAAAAACTCGATCTAGATGACTGGGTTAACACCACCGCTAAACGAGAAGCCCTCATAACCCTCAAGGACCTACAATTCGCTTTCAGCTTCGTTAACATTACTGGCGATGAGGAGCAGTACATCATTCTCCACGCGAAGAAGTTTCTTCTCTACAACACGAGTGAGCCACAGGGAAAGAAAACATCGACTGATCTCATTTTCATGTTACCATGGGCAGCTTTGACGGCGCAGAGTCGTGAGCTCGTTGGCGCCTACCTCCAGCACCGCATTGAGGAGAAACATGGCTACCCTCAAGAGCCAATATATTGTATTGGCTTTGGCTTGTACAGCGACGACGGCCTTGGTATAACCCAGACAACCAAAGCAAATTAAGAAAGATTTCTGCAACAGCTTTGGCCAGCATGACCTTAAAATCACGATTGAAGCCGACAAAAAAAGTCGTAAACTTCCTTGATGTCCGGCTCTTTACCTCTCCAATGTTGAACACAGGTTATAACAAGCGTATTAACATTCGGCTCTATGTCAACAAGAAATCTAAGCACCCGCTGCGTATTATCGACAACATCCTTCGATCTATTAATAAACGACTGTCTGAGAATTTGTATGATGCGCCAATCTACCAAAAAGCAGCGCCAATCTACGAAGCCCTCAACAACTGCGCATATACTCATCACCTTACCTTTTCACCTCAATTGCCAACCAAACCGCATGCTCTGGAAGAAAGACACGAAAAAAAAGGAAAATAATTTGGTATAACCTCTTTACAGCAAAAATGTAGCCACCAACATCGGAACAGCCTTTTTCAAGATCTTTGGTGAAGACTCCCTCAAAGAGCCTGTGTTACATAAGATCTTGAACCGTACAGTTAGGATCAGCTAAAGCTGCATGTCCAACCTGAAAAAGAACATCGACGGCCGTAATAAATCCATTTTATACAAAAAGATTGTTCCGCTTAAAACATGCAACTGCAGAAAACCGGCTTAGTGTCCTTTCAATAGAAGTTGCCTCAACGAATCGGTCATCTACCGAGCGGCCATCACAACTGAAGACAAAAACCCCTCCCAAACCGTCCTACGTTGGCCTAACGAAAAATTCTTTGAAAACCAGATACTCAAACCATAAAACTTCAATCTCTTATTCAAACAAAAAGTTTAGCACCGAACAAAGCAAACAATCTGGAATTTGTAAGACGATAAGTCAAAGTTCAAAGTCACTTGGAAAATGTTAAAGCAAGGTGCCCCATATAACCCCGCTTTGTAAATAATGCCTAATAATAACTTCATGTAGACACGCAAACAATAATCCTCCCGAAAACTAAATTTAAAAGCTCCCTTGTCACGCAATAGTATTGTAGTTTATTTACAATTTCGAACTTTCTATTGTTGTGTAAAAGCGCTCACTTATTGTGGTAATAAAATGCCAAGTCAAATCTAGAGTTGATCAGTATGTGAACTGTTGCATCTGGGGACCTTTCTAATCTTTTTTTATCCGTTTGCTATTTTAGCGGTTTGCAAGGACGAAGAGGGAAGTTTATTTCTAACAAAAGATGAAAATGGTTTGCAACGTTCTCACTGTATGGATTGCCATTGTAAAGCAGGCTTTCTGACATGCCGTAGAAACTTGACCATTAACTTCCCTGGCTATTACTATGGTTTCTATGTGCATAACGAGAATTGTGCGCAACCACAATGCAACGTTGCCAAGTTTGTGAGAGAAAAAATAGATCATTGTGAAGGTAACAAGTCACCGTCCTTACATTTACTAATAATATTACTTTTAGAATGAACAGTAAAGTCCATGATATAACAATAGCACAACTGACGTACAATATATTGGCTCTTGAGGGTAGCACACTACAATCAAAACTAACCATGGCGTTAACACAAAATCCTATGTCACACAAATGGTTGTGAAAAACAAACAAACAATATAAACAAACAAACAAAACAAGAACGAGAAAACAACTCAAAATAGACTTATTCATTTGGCACTTAATACTGACTTCTTGAAGAGGAACAGAGCATTTTTTGTCTAAATCAAAAAGAGGCTTTTTACCCCAGACGAGGCTAGGACCGGAGCCACAGACATCTGAAAGGGAGTGTAATTCTAAATCCTATGGACATAAATTATAACTACAAAAAAAAAAAAAAAAA